ACAGCAATAATGATGACGATGACAATATTGATGATGATGATGGTTCTGGTGAGATGAGATGCCTTTAGCAAGCCGTGCGCTATTTTTGAAGAAGCCACCTCCGCTTCTGTAAGAATGGTGGTCCAGCCACTGCTGTCAAGGAGATCGCCAACGGTGCTCCACATGGCCCTGTCCAAATGGAGTCCACCGAGCATGACTACGAACTTATCTTTTCCATATTCATCTGGCCACTTCCACTGAATAGCTTTTGCCAACGCAAACAAAGGCTTGTCCAGGGTGATGACTGGTACTTGTCCTGGCTTAAGAAACGATGTTGCTTCTCGCAGCACGTCCATGCCATGTTTTATCATTGCAGGGTATTTGCCTTTTCGTAAAACAGCGGAAGGAGCGCTGTAATAGCAGGTGGTTCATTTGTGTGTTACTGACATCCAGAGTGATAAGCAACCCATGTGATTGAATCTTCAGCGCTTACGTCATCGTTGCTGAGTTTGGATAGAGCATCTCTCACCCAGCGAACTTCTTGCTGTTTTGCGTCGTCAATATTAATGTCGAATTGACGTGATGTTACGTTACAGGCTGATACGGAGACTGAACTTGGGTTTAGTGCAACCTTAAGGACCGTTACATAGCTTTCTGGTAGTCCTTGGTGTTCTGCGCCAGGCGGCGATACTACTAGTGGGGGCTTACTTTCACCAGGTACACTTTCCGTTGGAAACTGAAAGATACTGATACCAGTTCCGTAAATGAGGAAACTGATGTCGTAGAGCTGGGATTATGATCAAGGTTGTCATGCGCACCCATAGAAAATATTTCTTTTCTTAAAAAAGCAGGCGATATACATCCATCTTCCTTGAAGCGCTCGTAAAGAGACGACGCTAGCCAGTCTTCTATTTCCATGATCCGATCGTAGGAAACAGAAATCCCCATTCGATACATCTTTTCAATAAGTGTTTTACTTCTGGTCGAGCTAAGTATGCTTAGGCCAGCACAAAGAGGTAGAGGTGGCTCACAAAATGCCGAGTGGCGAGTTTGACCAGTTTTGGTCTCGTAGGACCTCTTCTTAGCGTTGAAGATAATCGTCTCGCAGACTGTTAGACATGCTTGGTTTTCTGACTGCTCTTGATCCCTAATGTTAAGTCCATTTAGAATGATGGAAATCAGAGACCTCAAGCTAGATGGTAAATATTTCGATTGGCAGTCCATTGGAAAACATCTAGAAAAATAAAATCCTTTGTGAACAAAAATGTCTTTCCTTACAATCGTTGCAGCCCTCGCTAGAATTTCAGTGTCTTCTGAAAAGTCACGTTGTTTCAAAGCATCATTCAATAGGCTACTTACTGCCTCGCTAAATACTAAAACGGTGTTTCTTCCATCGCTTTGTTCTTGGAGAGTCCCACCGTAATGTTCCAACAAAGCATTCTTTAACCTGGTTTTATTTGTGGTCTTTTTAATTCTTAGATCTTCAAGCCTTTGTATGTACAACGACGACAGCTCAGAAAGTTTAAACAGATGAGTTCCGTTTTCTACACATTCTTCAATGTCCTCAACCAGCTCGACAAATACCATTGACTCGTCCATATTTTCATCGTCCACTCTATCACTTGAATATTGCGCTTTCTGCGCACAGGGTGATCTGTACCGATTTTCAAAGAGATCAGGCATTTCAAATGGTATTTTGCTTCAATAGCAATGAAGTCTCCCTCTGATATATGACCTAACAATTCAAAATCCTCCGGTTCAAGGGCCATTTGACAGACGCTCTTATCGGTTTCCAGCGTTGAGAAACAGTGTAGCTTATCGCTGTCGCAGAATAGATTTAAATAGAATAAACAGAATAAACATTGTGATTTCTCTTCAGAGTTAGACTGGCATTTCCTGCATTTCGATGCGGGTCTTCCCTCCTCGTCCGCTCTGCTGTCTTCGCCTTGTTTTCGGCCGGCACGCTCATGAGCTTTCCTAAGCTTTGAAAGGCTAAACTTGAGGTGACAGGACTTGTACCAAGAACCTTGATTGAGACAAAGGCAATCTACATCAACATCGTCGCCAAATTTGAGCTCTGTGGGAAAGCATTTGCTTCCCGAAAGCTGTTCACATTTTGAAGGAAAGCCAAATACGTTTGCCGGTTAGCTTCAGGTGATTCATTGCTGTTTAGGGGACACTTTAATGCTTCTGTCGTGGACTCTCGACAAATAATGCACATTTTCCAATCAAGTGACATTGCAGTTAAAGCTCCTAGAAGACAAAAATTACGCCGTTAGTTACTGGTGTAAAATCTTACATATAAACACTACCGACTGAAAGAAATTACGCCGTTAGTTACCGGCGTAAAATCTTACATATAAACACAACCAACTGAAAGAAATTACGCCGTTAGAGACTGGCGTAAAATCTTATATATAAACACTACCGACTGAAAGAAATAACGCTGTTGGTTAATGGCGTAAAATTTTACAGTAAGTATGTAAGACTGAAGAAATTACGCCGATAGTTAAAAGCGTAAAATCTTACAGTATGTAAGAAATTACGCCGTTAGTTAACGGCGTAAAATCTTACATACAAACACCACCGACCGAAAGAAATTACGCCGTTAGTTACTGGCGTGAAATCTTACAGTATATATATATTACCGACTGGAAGAAATTACGCCGTTAGTTACTGGCGTAAAATCTTACCGACTGGCGTAAAATCTTACATTATGACTTTATTACGGACTTGCCCTGCTTCTAATTCAGCTAATTGAATACCCATCGCGTTTAATTGTTGCTTTTGTTGGGAAGTAGCTATTGTCGTGAGCAATATGAAAGCTGGATTCAATGAGTGATTCATATCACTGCACAGGAAGTGCACAACCATTTGCATTTTGAGCGTTTATTTTCAGCTCTGGCAGAGCATTATTGTGCATTACTGTCTGTCCGGCTGGCTATCACATTATATAACTATTCAGATTTCTTCGAGAAGTTGAAATCTTCTTTAAATCTCTGCGGAAAGGTTGAAATGTTGTACATGCGTTCATTAATAGATTTCTACATCGCTATAATTTAGGTATGTGATTGTCAATTAAAGAAACAAGGTCTTGTATGGACTGATTTTCTGTTGCGACGCCTAAAATAATGAGGCTGATCAACAAAGACATTTGACCTGAATCACTTTGGTCGCTGGACAATTATCTACTGATACAGCTTGCAAGACATCGACAAATTTGTATATTTTTCATGACATCTCATCTATGAAGTTTGACGTAATAAAGAAACGAATAGGAAATTTTCCTTCTGGGTGGGCATTAAATGGAAGTCAAAAAACTTTGTTGGGTTCGGTTACAAACGCAATGCCCGTAGAAGCTGTCCATACCTTGTAACTTTTCAAGCTTGACTAAAAATTTGTCGCACCACTTACTAAGGTGGCCTCGCTAAAACATAATACCAAAAAAGATTAAACACACCCGCTATACAGATACTGAAAGATTTTACGCCAGTAGCTAAAATACCGTAGGATTTAACGGTAGTTACTAAAACAAGGAATGACCTAAAATGACCTAAAATGACCCAAAGTGACTTTGAGTGATTTCTTAAATGACCTAAAATGACCCAAAATGACCTAGAGTAATTTCTAAAATGACTTAAAATAACCCAATATGACCTTTAGTGAAGTGAACAATGCGGTGACGACAAAATCTGGATCGGACCGGATCCGATTGTTCATTTCGGTTTGCAGATTTTACGTGGTTTAGCATTTGGTTTTCGGCTTTCGTCCAAAATTCACACGGGTTTTCCTAATTTTTTCCGGTTTTTCTTCGATCTGAGCGGCAATTAAGCGCCTCCACTGATCTCGAACAGCCGCGAAACGCAAATGTTATTGAGAGGAATGCGTGACAAACCAAATGTCGCTAAAATAACTTCTCGTTGGTTGAATATTTTAGGGATCCGTAGGAGGTCGCGCGTCTCGAATAGCACCCGTGACTTTGACCTTGCAATGTGGAGCACTTAGCTCGATCAGTTTGCGAACGATGGCTTCTAACGTGCCTCACGCGCCAGCAACGGAAGAAACCCAAGGATCTCAGGAAGCAACTGTGGATTGTGTCGCGTTTTACTTAACTGACTGATGAAATGATACATACCTCTCGCTTGCCTTCGTCCAAGGTGGCACTACACGACAATCCTCGACACAGCCGTGAAAGTGACTACATGGGGTTTTTGGGCAAAAAAAAAAAACTCTTACGCTCTATTTTTTGCTCTATCCTCCTACGGGGCCTACGTTCTATTTTGTCACGCAGACTTTATTTTGGTTTGTCGCACAAAATTTCTAATTTTATTTTTCATGATCCGATCCATGATCTGTGATCCGATCTGTGATCCGATCCGTGATCCAATCCCTGACCAAGTGTGAGATCACATCGTGATCCGATCCGGTCCGATCCAGTCCGACCTGGTTCGATCCAGATTTTGTCTGCGACGCAAACTCAAGGTCATTTTAGGTCATTCCTTGTTCTAAATCTACCAAGACTTTACGCCGGTAACTAACGTCGTAATTTCTTCCAGTCGGTAATATATATATGTAAGATTTTAAGCTAGTAACTAACGGCGTAATTTCTTCCAGTCGGTAGTGTTGGGAATATATATAACGGCGTAATATGTGACTTACACAGTCTATATACTGTAAGATTTTACGCCACTAACCCAGTCGGTAGATTAATTATAATAAATCAATATATAATTAAATTATATTACTGACCTAAAATTTTTTAGATTTTTCGCTTAAAACACAAAGCCGGGACAGGTACATGTCCAGAATTCATGGTTACGGGTACTTGCATCAGATCACTCTTTGGCTGATACATGATAGGTGAGGGAATAGGAAACTGGTTAACCGGCTTGAACACAGGTTGAGGCATGGATGGATACTGTACCCGGGTACGTTCCCGGGTAGCCAAGGATTACTGGATACTGGGACAAAGGTGGGTATGGGGGTAGCTAGAACTGCTGTACAGTTGGTGAACCTATTCTCTAATGAAGATGAGGAGTGCCGCAATGAAGTAATTGACTTCCAGAAACACTGTTGGCAGCTATGACGTGTACAGCAGCTTGGGTCTCATATATGGGATTGCCAAGTGTGTTGTACGTCAGAACTGCTGGTGGGTGCCTCTGTCGTTTGGTCCTAGGTTCCAGTTCGGGACTATCTGGTGGACTGTTGTTATTCTGGGTTAGAGGATCTTGTCCATTTCCGCTCTCTAATCCGGTTTCTTTCGTCTCTTCCGAAACAGTGCGATCGCTGATTACTTTCCTTTGATGGGCATTGCCCGATATTGCATCCTCTGCCTGTGTCGGTTTAGGCTGTTTCTCTTCAACTGAAGGTTTGGCGAGCTCCTCAGTAACCGCCTCTTCTACGGTCCGCCTAGTGTGGAGGTTCCTAGGGGTGATTGTATACTCATCATTACTACAGATGCCATCTGCTAAGTCTTCGGCCTGTGGTACAGGTATCTGACAAGCAGTGCCACACTTATCCTTCCAGACCCTTCTTTCTCTGGGGAAATAATGGGAAGATTATTGCATGCCAGTAGCAAGTTCCTATGTAGGGTTCTGTTCCCCCCAGTGCCAGCCTCGGGCTTGACTTCATACACAGGGCTATCTTCTCCTTTACGGCTAACGACTATGTGAATCTGATCCTCCCAATGTGAGCGCAGCTTCCCCGGTCCACCCCGTTCTCTTAGATTGCGTACAAGAACTCTATCACCAGGCAGCAATATCGAACTTCGTACAAAACGGTCATAACGTTGTTTGGCTCGTGTGCCTGCTTCACTGAACTTCTTGCCTGCTAATTTGTATGCCTCTGTTATTGTTTTTTGCCACTTTTCACGTGGTTGGTTTCATCTTCAGTTCCAAACATTAATTCTACTGGCAAATGGGGGTGGCAACCGAAGAGGAGGAAGAACGGTGAGTAGCCATTTGATTCGTGTTTCGTACAGTTATAAGCGTGTATCACATGGTTCAGTTGTTCTACCCAACGTGATTTCTGGGTCTCTGGCAAGGTACGGAGCATTCCCAAAAGTGTCCGGTTGAAGCGCTTAACTTGACCGTTCTCTTAAGGGTGATAGGGGGTGGTAGGCTGCACAGCTTCTCGAGCTCCCGATGGAGGTTGTTTTCAAATTCTCCCCCTTGATCATGGGGAATTCTGAACGGAAAACCAAACCGGAGAATAAAATCATGTAAAGTTTTTGGGCAACTGTCTTAGCTGACTTGTTTCTCGTGGCATAGGCCTGGGCATAGCGTGTGAAATGGTCCATCACAACGAGGATATATTCGTACTCTACTCTACTCTTCTCCAAATGAAGGAAGTCAATGGCGATAAGTTCAATAGGCGAGGTAGTCACAATGGGATTTAGTGGGGTTCTAGTCTTAAGCGAGGGGGCCTTTTGTTCAACGCATTGACAGACATGTCCAATATGGTGTTCAATATCTCGCTGCACGTGGGGCCAATAGAAGCGCTCTCTGGCGAGGTCTAGTGTGCAGTCCACCTCAAGATGACTCATGTTTTCGTAGAGTTCTTTGAGGATGCGTGAACGAAGCTGGCTAGGTACAATAACTTGAGTCCTAGTTCCTTTACGTCGTCTAAGTATACCATCCTCATCAAGGGATAGTTTATCCCATTCATGCAGGAGAAGTTGCGTCTCACCCAACTCACGTTTTCTCTCTGCTGCTGTTGGTCGTTGGCTACGCCGGATTAAATCACTTACTCGACGAACGACCTAGTCAGTGGCTTGTGAGTGCTTGAGGTCTATCCTTGGTCCTATGGATTCTTCACTTCTAAATGGGTCAGTTGGTAGGACGGCGTGGTCTCCTGTAAGGGCGGACACCCAGTTCACTTGTCCCTTGCCGAAAATGCAACGGTCTCAAGGACATCCTGTGGTACTACTTCTGTATAAGCTGTGTCCTCAGAGGGCATTCGAGATAAAGCGTCGGCATCAACGTTGGCTTTTCCTGGGCGATGGTGTATAGTAAAATTAAAATCAGCTAACTATCCAATCCAGTGCAAACCGGTGGCATTTAGTTTTGCAGAGGATAAGACATAGGTGAGTGGGTTATTATCAGTGAATACTTTAAAACTTGGTGCGTAATAGAGATAGTCTCGAAACGGATCACAGATAGCCTATTTGAGGGCTAGAAATTCCAATTTACCGGAATGGAGGTGGTAATTCTTCTCGGCTGGAGTCAAGTTGCGCGACCCATATGCGACAACACGGAGATTGTCACCCTGATACTGATACAACACGGCGCCTAAGCCATCCTTTGAGGCGTCTGTATGGTGAACAAATGGTTTCCGAAAGTCAGGATACGCCATTACTAGAGCACTTGTGTTTGAGTCGGTAAGAGTCCGCAAGGCAGATTGATGAATGTCAGTCCAATCCACCGGGTGTTTTGCCGGTAATTGGCCATTGTTACTGCAGTCCTTCGTAGGTTTTTCCCGCTGAACTTCCTGTGGAGAGCGACTAGGTGTCTTCACCAGATCATAGATAGGCTTGGCGATTCTAGAAAATTCCTTAACATATCGCCGGTAATAGTTCAGGAAACCCATAAGTCTGCGCACTTCACCAACTGTCTTTGGAGGTGAGTCTCTGAGTGCAAGGACAGGCTTAATACTAGATGGATCCAGCTTGTAACCCTCTTCCGACGCAATGTGCCCAAGGAATGTAACCTCTCTCTTAAAAAATTTAAGTTTCCGAGGTTTCAGTTTGACTCCATGTTCTTTTAGTTGTCGAAGAACCTTGCGTGTGTTTTCAATGTGATCCTCAAAGGTGGCACTGAATATGATAATATCATTCAGGTTGAGTACACAGACAGTGTCTCTCAAGTCTCCCAAACAGTTCTCCATAGAATGTTGAAATGCTCCAGGCACTCGGGAAAGACCAAATGGTATCCGGAACCATTCATACAAACCCCAAGGGGTAGTGAAGACTGTCAAAGGCTGGCTATTTGAACTCATAAACCCTTAGTGGTAAGCTTTACCCTGGTCAAGAACAGAAAACCACGAGTTGCCCCTGAGGTTATCCAGCATCTCTTGTATTCGGGGTATCGGGTGGTGGTCTAGTCGTGTCTTCTTGTTCAGTGCTCTTAAATCCACACACAGCCGTAAGCTTTGGTCTTTTTTCTCACACACACGACCGGAGAGCTGTACGAGATGATGATTTCTTGATAAAGTTCTGGTTTAACAAATCTTCAATGTAAGCTTTGACCGCTGGGTAGAGTGGTTTCGGTACTGCTACATAGTTCTTCTGTACAGGTGTCTGGTCCTCTAAATCTAGGTCAAGTTCAAGGTCAGGGATGCATCCAACATCACTTGCATTTTTAGCAAAATAATCAGTCTGCTCCGTAAGCAACTTTAAAGCCATCTCTGATATGCGAGGGAATCCCCATGGGAACCCCTCCCAACCTTTCATTGACGGTTTGGACTGGCTCTGTAGTCTCTGATACTTGTACCCCCTTCGGTTGGGTGTCGCTGGCACTACTGTCAGGCCTTTTTATCTTTACTTCAACTGGTGTCACCGACTGGAGAAGTTGTAGTCGGCTAAGTAGGATCCGTTCTCGAAGTACAATCTCATGGCTGGTGTTGTTGGTGATGTCAATGTCCACCAGACTTGACTTTCCTTTCTTACGGTCAGCAAGGTCTCGGAGACTTCCAAACCATTAGGCCATGGGCTGGTCACATCAAGTTCAAACAGCACTGGCGTAGGTCTTCCCACTGGTCCCATATTTACTCTGCAGGTGACTCCTTGACTCTGCTTTGGTGGTATAGTGGCGTCATGCTTGCTAGTTCTAACAAAGTAAAGTTCCTCTTGATTAAGGTTCTTAATAAAATTCACAAGTAACGAAGCCGTTCGGCTGTCAAGGTCAGGGAAGCTGGAGGTGACAGCTTGGGACAACGCCACTTCCCTATTGCAATCACTAATAATTTCTTCTATAACATTAAAACCAATTAGCAGCGAGTCCAAATGTTGTTCCGTAACAAGAAATGGAACTTTCAAATCATTTTTGTAAGACGGCAATCTAAAGTTTAGCTCCGCCAATCCTATGTACAGCATCTCGCTACCGTTAGCAGCAGTCAAGCTCAGTTTCATGTTGAGCAATTCCAAAATATCTTTAACAACAACACCAGACAAATTCCTCCTTAAGAAGTCGTTGGATATTATTGAAACCTGGGCCCCTGTGTCCCACAGTACATCCACTGAATGACCATTGATCTCTCCTTTAACAGTGCATCTTTTCCCCACCAATCCTACCACTATGGCATGTTGTCGTGGTGTCAGATGACTAACAAAGGTACTATCGCTAGGGTCCAGGGTCTTTGGCTCCGATTTGTTTGACAGGTGTGAAATTGCCGGACATAGCACTTTCTGGTCTGGTCAGAGTTTCTTTTTACAAGCCCAACTACAGTATTTCATCATTTCACATTCTGAACATTGCAAGAACTTTACTCTCTCCAACTGAACTTGGCCACAGCCATTAGATTGATGGGACTTGTATCTATTACTTACTATTACTTGTAGCTATTACTGTGTCCCGCCTAAATAGTCGCTGGCCGTTTCCTAGACGACTAGCCTGATTCCTTCTTCTAGTATATCTAGTATACTCACGAGCTACATGTCCAGAGATACCATAGGCGAAACAATGGTTACATTCCTCTCCTCTTCCACGCTCTTTACAACTTTGACAACCCCAACTTGGGTTCTTTGGCTGGTAACCACCACTTAGGGGATGGGCCCCGGTTTGATTTTGCCGCCTGACCGCTTTGGGCATTAACTCTACCTTTGAGGTCGTTAATTTCTGATTTCATCTGCTAGAATTCAGAAAAATTTGTTGGCTCCCGTCTGAACTTGGGTTCCTGGCTCTCTGTTCCCCTCTCTCCCTGGGGACTTCTCAAGCATTTACGTTGGCCTTTTCAGCTGCCAGTTTTGTGGTTCGCGCATCCTACTGTGAAGCTAGTTCATTAACTTGTTTCATAAGCTCCTCATCAGTTAGCCCTGCGGTACGAAGGGGGGTTCTTAAGTTGGATGCTAAAATATCATCACGAAGACCAGTATCGAAGGATTTTTCAAATGTCTTCTGGATCAGCGAGAGGCCATAATTAAACTCAAAAATCCGATTCCTGACTGGCGAAATTTAACAGGTCCAAAGCACGGAGTGGAAATTGCTGCGGTGACTCATTGCTTTGTTGGCATACGGTTGCAAGCTGTTGATACACCTCAGATGCAGCTTTCTCCCGTTAGTGGACACGGAGAATTCTCCGTAATTTTGAAAGGGAGAGGTCGCTTAAGGTTTCCACATAACTTCTAAGACTACTATGGGGCGATATTGCACAAATCACGGCATCCACATTCACTTTCTTTAAGACCACGTTTAAGACCAGAGTCTATCTGATGCATTAAGGACGCAAAGGTCAATTTTTCTGTCTGTCCCGGTTCGCCAATCTGTCCCGAAAGTTTATATTCTCTGCGGAGTAACGATGAGACCGCTTTTGTTTTCGCCATTTGAGCCAAAATATTCTCCGCCCCTTGTTCGACTTGTTCTTTTTTTAACTTTCCCGGGGCGCCCATTTGTTCGCTCTTCACTCTAGCAGCTGTTTTTGGCCCCGTCTCCTCAGTTGGTTCGAGAGGAGGTACAGTTCCTTTTACGTATGCGAGTAGTTGTTCCAGACAAGTGCGTGCGACCTTTTCATCGCTTTCCATTTTGCTGTCGACTTCTTTCCTGATAACTTTAATCTTCTGCATTTTAGTTTTCCCAGTTACATCGTCCTCGATTCTTAATACCGTAAAAACTCGTGTATAAGCCGCACCTTTTTGCCGAAATTTTGAGTCAAAAATCGCGGGTGCGGCTTATACACGAGACCATTGCTCTCAAAGGGAATAAACTGGCTTGTAGGGGTCACAAATTGAACTGAAAACCTTCAGTAAATAAAGATTAAACATATTGAAACCTGTCGTTGATCATTGCTTTCAGTAGAAGTGGTGGCTCCTAAAGGAGCCGTTTGTTTGCATCTTCAGGTTCTATACCTGAATCTTGCTCGCCAGTAGTTCTTTTAAGAATTTCACTTTCACTGCGCTTTGTTTGAGCAGTTAAACTCTAACTGGCACGGAATCTCCATTCCTCCGCACAGCTGCTTACAGTGTCGTCTGCGACCGATCCCTTCAACGCTGATTTCTCCTCTACGTACAAGAAAATACCACGCTATTCGAGAGAATTCGCGAGGCAAATGGCCGACTGTTTCGTCGTCTTCACTACTTTCATATATTAAGGCTCATGTAAATAGTTTTTGCTTTTCTCGTGAAAATGATACCGAACCGTGTTGTACAAGATTTCGCTTTGAACAAAGATTGATGTGCCGTACTTTCAAACATTGTACAATGTTTATAGTTTTTTGCTTAAACAAGGAATTTCGTTTTCTAATATCAAGATATCTGTACCTGTTATTTGTAAATATATTATTCAGTTTTGTAAAATACAGTCTTCACAAGTCCAGCATTTGTTTACTTGTGTCCTTCTCTGGTGTCCAGACTTCCCTCGTCAAATAAACGCGTGGTTACTAAGCAAACGTTTTGTAGCATTCTCCAGCGCTTTATTTTCGTTCCATCGTTCCATTTTCATTTCAACTGTGGGCTTTAGCAATGAAGAGAACTGTTGTCTTTCGCAGGAAATGGGGAAATTGATTAAAGAGAACCTTTTAAAAGGTATTTTCAGAGTTGATTAACTTATTTAAAATGTCACTGCAAATACACAACATTAAATTTCCTCAAGTTTATTTGTGAACATTTTGATGCGCGAACAAACGATCACCTTTTTTACAAAAGCGCATTTTTGGTTTTTTTTTTTTTTTCAAAATCATGCTTGAAAGTTGGGGGTGCGGCTTATACACGAGTGCGGCTTATACACGAGTTTTTACGGTAAATCTATCATTTCAACTGGGCTGCCCTAATCTTGATCAAACAGTAGCGTTTCTACTTGCAGTTGCAATAGCTCCATAAGAGGGACTTTTAGGCGACGGGGGACTGCAGGCTCTCAGGGAAAATCCAAATAATCATCTGCGCATGACTGGCTGGAAAAGGTTTGACGTTCTGCGTTCGGCCCCGACGTGAAACGAGTGACTTTGACGTTGGTTGAAAACGTGAGTATTCTTTTCCGCCTTCTCTGCTAACTAAACGTTAAATATTCCCGGGAGACAATTTAAAATAACTCTCGTCGCTTTTTTCTTTCATAAAGTGAGATTATTCTTTAATTTGTTGGTTTGTTTTTAAACAGAAATGTCGAGACGCTGATCGAGATCGACACCATTTGACAAACATGTGAGTAAGAAATGTAATGTAAATAATCTTGGCTCACACTAATACCAATCGAAAATTAGCCGCTGAGAATCACTCAAAAGTCAAACAGTTCGTCAAAGAAGATATTCTTACCAGACTTAAAAAGGGCAAACAGCACTACAACTTGTGTAGCCGTTTTGGTTTTTTTTAACTGCCAGCACAATTTTGAAGAATTTTGTCGCGCCAATCGACAAACATCTACCGAGGATATTTTCTTTCAATTTACTTTGTAGGATGCTATCATTCCACTGCAAAATTCTGTGACTGTGGGCCTGGTAGATGTAGTCGATCATCTAGTTGTTTATCATGCATAACACTGGAACAGGCTTCCCAAAGCGAGCTATCATGTCTGAATATTGACAAGGATAGCTATGTCTCTTTAGGGAAATGCAAAGAGCCTCCAATCCGCTATAGATACTTCTTTGATAGTACTCCACTACCTCAGGAATTCCCAATACTTCAGCCATAAATGGTAAGTCGTTCATGTAGAGGCAAAACTCTGAAAGGCACTCGTCGTCTTCCAAATCATCGAAGTCAAAATCAGGATAAGAATTGTACGTGGTCGTCTCCATTTGCTCGCCCAGCACTCTGAATTCTTCGCTCAAAATCCACGGATTCTGCTTCACATAAC